GGGGGGGGGACGTGCAGGGGTTCTGGTCTTGAAAAGATCCTGTTGTTGATGAAAGGAGGCCCTGCACCCAGCACAGCTGAGGACATCTCAGTCCAGATCAGTGGCTGGTAGTGACAAACCTCTCCAGGAGAGGGGGCGGGCCTAATAAGCCACGCCTGCAAGCACAGTCCCCAGCCACATTCTGGGCCAGACCCGGGAAAAATGAAGGAGCAGGAGCTCAGGGCAGGGCCAGCTGGTTGGTTGTGAGAAGAGGAAGGAGCCTCAGGTGGATAGATGGGGGGTGGGGAGGATAGGAAGGGAAGCAAAACCACTTCTTCATAAGGAGGGGAGCAGAGGGAAGGGAAACAGACTGCGGGTGGGGCTAGGAGCCACTCTCCCCTAACCCCAGGTACCCAGAAAGGCCTGGGGCCACCTCTGGCCTTGGAGCAGACAGCTGGAAGGAGGGGACAGCTGCCACAACAGAGACCCTGCTCAGAACCCAGGACCCACCCAAATGCCTTCTCCCACCACAGGGCCCTCAGAGTCTGTATGAAATACTCCTCAGGAAGCTGCAGTCTGGAACAGGGGGCCAGGCCACATCTGCTAAGTCTCTGCCCCCGCAGTGCCCACCTCCCATGGTGGGTGGTCAGCAAATACCAATCTGTTCCTCATGAGAACTTGATCACAAGCAAGCAGGTGCTCATGCAAGGGGGTGGGAGATGGGTATCTGGGACCTTGGGCTGTGATGTTCCCAAGAGTGGAGAAAATGGGAGACAGAAGGACTCGGGGCTCTGTTACCTGTATCCTGTCTTCTGGCAGCTCCGTTTTCATGGCCAGCATCTCCCGGGCATAGACGTCTGGGTAGTGGGCCTCGTTGAATGCCTTCTCCAGCTCCTCTAGCTGGTAGGAGGTAAAGATTGTCCTGAGGGGAACAAAACCAGACACTCAGGACACTGGAAATGGAACAAGCCTGTCCCAGATAGGACAGAATGGCCCTTCCCCTTGCCTCTTGGATAGACCCCAAACCCAGGGGCTCAGCACAACAGGCACAGACTCCCTCACACACTCACATACACACACTCTCACACGTGCACACACACGTGCACACGTGTTCACACACACTCATAGCTTAACCCTCTGGACGCCTCTTCATTCAAGGCCAAGGGCCCACACTACCCTCCTGGCGGTGGGGGGCATTATTTCAGCCCTCGGAGGCATTTCATTACAGGAATCTTTCTGGAAGTGTTTTGGGGAAAGGATATTAGGATAGAAATTTTGGAACACTGTAGAAAGCCCCTCTTCCTCCTCCCAGAACAGGGCGAGGGATGCACCAGGTGAGTAAGTGCCTCAGCCCCACTGGGACCCACTCACAGACAGAGCTGATCTTTTAAATTGCACTCGAAGTTCTGAGACTCACTCAAAGACCAAATGCAGCTGCAACCCCAGTGTTTGTGCAACTGAGAACTGAATTTCTCACCCCTTCAACCCACCCCGACACTCCCCCCTCCTCACCTGCCCAGATCCACCAGCTCCCTAAAGCTGCCCTGGGAGTTGCAGGGATGGGGGATGTGACCGGGAATGCAGGCCGTCCCTTCCCGAGCTCAGAAGGAAAGGGCCACCTCCCAACCATCCCAACGCACAAGCAGGGGGGGAGGGGTAAGGGTGGGGGTGCACAGTGGGGGGGCTCCATTCAGGTCACCCTGAAAGAATCTACCTCCACAGCCCCCCACCCTCACGGAGCAGTTCACATTGACCTATTTTGGGTCAAACTGCTTTAAGAATCTGGTAAAAGCTAGATTACTCTCGCCCTAGGAAAATCCGCAAATGAATGTGCTCCAGTACATAAAATGTCACGTCCAATATTAGGGGGTTCATGGACCTCCTTTCTTGAACAAACACACTTACAAATTCTTCCCTTTTCAGACCTTAATTTCACCAAGTTCCTTTATCTCGCTCCCTCATCAACAAGCCAATGGGCAAGAAAGTCCAGGTTCCACAAACTCAGCGTATAAATATGCTTGAGCCACTGGGATTTGGACCCTGGGACCAGCCGGGGGGTTTAGGTCCCTCACTGCGGCCACCACCCTCACCCAACAAAGGAAAAGTACCAAGTTAAGCTCCGGCGATCCTAGTGCTGTGTTTTCTCTAATATCTCGGGGCATGCTGTGGGGGACTGTGAGGAAGAAGGATTCCGCTCTTTATAGGAAATGACTGGTTTGGTTCCAAATCGTCTCTCCTCTTCTCTTGGGGGCAGGGGATGAAATGTTTATGTAAACTAAGCTATTTCTTTAGAATTTTGAAGAACTGCTGCTTTCTATTTCTCTCCGGCCACTTACTGAAGGGTCCCCACACAAATCATCAAAATAAACCATCAGAAGGTGCAAATCCGTTTCAAAACGAGGGAAACCGAAGCGCGTAGGCGCTGTGGCCGGAGCCGAGAGGAGCTGCCGGCGCCAGGTCGTTGGAGTGCCAGCCTCTGCTCAGGAGAGCTCAGAGCCCAAATTCCAAAACCAAAGCAAAGCCTCAGGGCCCCCAAAGTTCCCCTCATTCCCATCTCAGAGCCCTTCCCCGAGTTCATGCTCACATGCTCCCCAGGGAGCCTCCCTGCGCTCCCGCAGTGTGACCCAGAAAACCTGCTCCTGGCTTTTTACAGAAGCCCAGACCTTTCAGGTTCCCCCGTTTCCCGTCTGAGCTTTCCGGGTAAAGAGAAGAGGAACCTCTGAGATCCCAAGGCTGCCGGCCCACCTTCTCTCCCCTCTCCAGCCTCTGCTACGCCTGGTCTGTTTCTGGGAAATCAAATGATGCCCATCTCTCATCACCAGATTCCAGGCTCTCTTTTCTGAAATCCCCAGATGAGAGAAGCTGAGGAAAATACCTTTCTTTTTTTTTTTTTTACTAATTAAAAACTGCACCGGCAATCAGTAGCCATTCTCCTAGCTCCAAAAATCTGCTTCCTTCATGAACCAAAAATAGCCAGAAACTGGCAGGTGACTGGTTGTTGTCTGGTCTCCCTGGGAACCCACCAAAGCTCCCAAAAGTTCCCCTGGTGGAGAGGGTGTCGGGTGAGGACAGAGTCAGGAACCATAAGCATGGACTCCGGGCTATGGGTCAGCCAGCTCCAAGTGCCACATGGGCAGGTGTCCTGATGCAGAAACACTGTTGGGGCTCACAGGATTTGGGGCGTGCTTTCCCCAGGGCTCTTCTTCTTGGGACCCCCCACTCCCCACCCCTGCTGGCACCAATGCAGAAGCAGTTGTTCTCCCTCGTGGCCTGGTCCCTGGACTCAGAAGCTGGCAGGATCACCCACCCTGGGACCAGCATGAGATGGGTGCATAAGAGGTGTTTTAATGAATATTCGTTGGGGAAATGAATGTAAAAATGACCCAGGACCAGGACTAAAAAAATGTTTCTGTTTAAAATAAAACAAACTAAACAAAAACAAACGGCTGCCTGAAGGGAACCAACGAGGTCGTTGAGAAACCAAGTCAAAGTTCACCCGCCTTCAAGGGGGAGCCTGTTGGGGTCTGAGAGGTCAGGGAGACCCCCTTTCAAAGGCGGGGGTCAGTAGTGGGGTGTCCAAGGGCTAGGGAAGAGGGAACCGCAGAAAAGTGCCCAGAAAAAGGGTACAAAGGGGCTGAGAACAAGTTGGGGCAAAGGAGATCAAGGGGGGCAAGCGGGAGGGGCAGACCTCCGGGGGTGAAATGTCCCCAGAGCCAGTGGCACCCTGCGGACACCCCACCTGGGCCCGGGCGGAGAGAGGTTTGGGGGGACAGAGCCGGGGGAGCGCAGGGACAGCGCCTGGAAGCAGCACTCGCAGAAAGTCAGGCAGGTTTTTGGTTCTTGCTCCTTTATTTCCTTGAAACGCTTCTGGTAAATTTACACAAGGAACCGGCGGCGCAGAGGCGCTGATGCCCGAGGGCTGCGGGTCCGGGGTGAGGGGATTACTTTCCAGGATCTATGTTTTCGAATGGATTGAATTTTAACTTTGTGCAAGTAATGCTTATTTAAAGACATATATTTTTTAAAAAAACAAACACTCTCTTTAGCCTGTACCCCAGTGCAGCCCCGTCCGCTGCGGCTAGGGCTGGTGGGTCATCCAGTCCACACACTCCCCCGTCTCTCCCCATTTTACAGACGAGGAAACCGAGGCTCGCCGAAGGGAAGCTACCTTCTCAGGGCCACACAAAGAGCAGGAGCCTAACGAAAAATTTCCATCAGCGCAGATCATCACGCTCGAGGTTCGGGGCCGGTGGGAGCGGAAAGGTGGCGCGTCGTCGGCACAGGGCGCGGGGGCGG